TTAAAAAAAACTAATGGAATAGAGAGCCCAGAAATAGGACTATGTGTGAAAACATGATAGAGATAGGAGGCACTATAATTCAGAGGGAAAGGCTGGACAATTCAATGAGAGAGGGAGTATAAGAAGTACTTTTAATTCATCTCTGATGTTGGACCACCTGGGTCAAATCCCAGTTTAGCACTGTGACTCGGTGCAGTTTATTTTAGTTCCCTCATCTGTAATGAAGATAATAATATGGTACCTACTTCATAAGGTTCTTGTGAGGATAGAATGAGTTGTCAAAGAAAAGCTTTTAGAACGAACACGTGCATGCGCACACACACACACACACATACACACTTCCCCAGAATAATTCTGAAAGCTGTTTTCCAAAAGTCTAGGACACATTCATTTGAATAAATATTTATTCACTGCATATTCTCTGGCATGACACCAGGCCTCTAAAATCTTTTTCCCAAAATTCACATATCACCAGCTACTTGTATTCTAGCAGCAATAAAAATAGTACTAAAAAACAGTTTCAATAGAAATCACTAATTAAAGAAAAGCTATTGCTTTTAGTCATTAATAGTGTTTTTTTCTCATAAGCAATTTGAAATATAAAACAAATCCATACACAATTCAGAATAACAAGCATGTTTCAAAGCAAAGTTCAAAGATGAGGCTATCCAGTAATTGAATAGACAGTCTACATCTACATAAAAATTCAGGCAATGGGTTAAAGTTACTGAATTATAATATATTCAATTGTGCTTAAAAGATTAAAAAAAGGCTCATGCCCCCAAATCTAGCATGTTTTGGTTCTCTGGCTGCTGAGTCTGTGCATTGCTGCCCCCTAATGGTCAGTAAAGGACTATATTCACCACCTTATACCCGGCTTTGTCACATTAGGACTTCTGAGAAGACAGCAGAAATGATGGGAAGTTTAAGGGTCATTGAACGCTACATATTAGAAACATCTGCTCTTACTCAAAACTCCAAATGCATGTGGGCAAGTCCCTTGAAGATTACTGAGCTCATTAAAAACTGCAGCCCAATTTTGTGTTGAAACAATGAAATTCATTATTTTCCAATAGAACAAAAAAGCAGCCAAATTGTCAGTTTTAATTGCAGGGAAATGCAAATGCAAAGTAATAATCAAGGAGTTACACAACTGAGCATTTATAGTGAACATGGTAACAATTTTGTCCAAAGCGTCCATGATGAACTGCCCAAGAAAGCTGGCAAAATGCACTATCGCTTAGAGGGAATTTTAAAGTTGGATAATGATTTTCAAGAAATGTTTCCATAATCCTGCTGTAAGGGCATATGATACTAATGGGAAGTACGATTTTCTCAGACTTGAAAAATGACATACATACCATCTGGTATGGAAACATGGATTTTTCTCTTTTCTTGTCAAGCTAAATGAGAATATGCCTAGGGCCTAAAGAAAACGAGGCTGAGAACAACTTCAAATAAAAGCACAGCAAAGCAAAACAAAACAAAAAACCCCAACCCCTACTGGAAATTCAAAGTAGGCAACTACTGCATTGGGGGGAAAATTTCCTCCTACACATTGGTCTCAGCAGTGAATGACAAATCAATGTAACCTTGTTAGAATTTACCAAGTTTTCCATATTAATTTAGTCATTTAGTAATTATTTTATATGCACCAGTTGTACCTAGAGCTATGTAGGGTAGCAAGTTACACAAATCCTTTTAAATACCACTGAAACCAACACTATCACTGGACTAAGTTAACACTGACAAAATGTAACTAAACATTTTAGAGTTGCCTGGCTGTGAACACAGTATTGATGGAATGAAACATTCTAAATTTCTCATGTTCATAGGCCAGGGGTGGGCAACCCCTGGCATGGGTGCCAAACATGGCATGCCAGTAACTTTTGCTGGCATGCGAAACCTCTCTTATAATCTTCCATTTACAATTTTTTCTTAATATCGACTTTTTTATTTTTCATATAAATTCAGTGTTGGTGCATCTTAGATAAATAAATAATTTTACATAACAAGTTATCTTAAAGACCATAGACATGGATTGACGAGAGGGGAAGAGCAATTTCTATGCCTCTGCCTTAACTCTCCCTGCCTTCCTAGATCCAACCAGTGTTTTGGTTTCATCCACATACACTTGTGAATCTTTGTTCTCAGTGATGAATTTTGTTAAGTCTCGTAATAGGAGTAGCCTGACGGATGAAAGTAGTAGCTCGTGCATATCTCTGAAGGTCACGAAATATAAACGTGATGTAAA